GCGGAAAATATACTCAGAACTTGAACTCAAGTGCCAGCTGTGAGAGAAAATCATGAAATTAGGTTGACTGGCCCGTTGCTCGTATAAAAATTGTATATTTTGTTTTCACCATCAAACAGATTAAATATTATATTGTACATAACTTACTGTATGCGCGTCATTCTGTGTTTGGTTATATTTAGCTCCATGGTTACAATCACCGTAAACAGAGACGCCGGACCCTAACAACGCGGCGACAACCCTAACATCTAATTGCTGCACAAAGGTGATTCTTGTGCCTTTGCCACGATAAAAAAAAATCATTTAATTTTTAATTTCCATATTTTATTTATTGCTTATGACTTTAGTTAAGGTAGCGACAAACATTTTTTCTTATATTGTTTTAAATACATGAATAATTATAGCTAATTACAAAATCTGAATTTCAGTGGAATGCTACTCAAATGGGTACTTTTGCATAATGTTTGCCTTTGAAGAGGCTCAGTTGAAGGGTTTATTTGATTGTTGACGTTTCTGTTTTGTCAAGTGTTTTTCTTTGTTTGTTTGTCTCTTTTCTCTGAACTTCTTGTGAATTGACGATGGCGCACTATTTAATATTGACTGCACATTTGCGTTGTATTCATTCTTACACTATTTTAGTTAAGTACATTATAAGATGACCCCCCCCCCCCCATTTTATCAAATTAAACCACGTGTTTTTTTATTTCCAACCAACAGTTTTGGGAAGTCATTTCTGATGAACATGGAATTGACCCCACTGGTACCTACCACGGCGACTCTGATCTTCAGTTAGAAAGAATCAATGTGTATTACAATGAAGCAACCGGTGGCAAATACGTTCCACGTGCAGTACTGGTGGATTTGGAACCAGGTACCATGGACTCCGTCCGATCCGGTCCTTTCGGACAGATTTTCAGACCAGACAACTTTGTATTCGGTAAGTTTGTCCCGATGTATCAGTCGCCCATATGGGTAGGTCTACGCTCGTGGACAGTGTGTAACGTTAGCTAAATCAAGCAATGAAGATGGCAGCCATATACTGTGAAGGGGGTAATTATTCACTGGGTTTTAATTTAGCTTATTTCGCTGACTGGAAAAGGCGCTAAATTAAAACCCAGTGAATATGTAAAATTTAGCATAGAACACATTATCTAAATGACGAAACCGTGAATTTAAAACCCACTGAATATGCCTGAAATGGTAAATCAGTGAAATTTAAACCCAGTGAAAATTAGTCATTTTACAGTAATTCCCCCCCCCCCCAAATTATTGTCAATTAGATGTTATTCTAGGGCCGTGTCTCTATTATGCTTTGGCCTCACACGCAAACTTTACGCATACATCCCACATCAAGTAATACATAAACACATGCCTTAGTTGCATGATTCAATTCATGATGCTGTTCAAAAATGCTTAAATAAACTGGCTTCAGTTTCTAGCATTTGCCATACGTCAAGTAAATTTGCCATAGATAGTAAAGAAAGACATGAATGTCTTGTATTGGCCATCATACAACCAGCAAGAACTGCAAAAGCACTCTAATCGATAATCATACTAACACCACAAACTTCAAATGACACATGAAAGATTTAAGATGTCAAAGACATTCTATTTTGATTGAATTCATTGATACATTATTTATTTCACAGGTCAGAGTGGTGCTGGTAACAACTGGGCCAAAGGTCATTACACAGAAGGTGCAGAGTTGGTAGATTCCGTTTTAGATGTTGTCCGCAAAGAAGCAGAGAGTTGTGATTGCCTACAGGTAATGTGTAATTTTATTTCAGAGACATTTTGTCTATCGTGCATATGAAATTCGCATTGTAATAAAAGCCACATGGCCTAAAATATAAATAAATATATACAATAGAATATTGGTCTTAAAAATAACTTGCGAGTTATCTTAACTTTAAACTCGAAAAAAAAACGATTGTTTTGCTATTCGCTATCGTGTTTTATCGACTCGGAGTGATATATCATATCTTACCTTGTGTTCTACGAGCTGTATGAGGGCCTACACCTTTTGAAATATCTGAAAGTGGCCTTCCGGAACATACCAGTTCTCCTTTCCTTTGGCAGTTTTGAGCAAGTGTATACTGAACTGTATATTTTATCCCTTTTCTATTGGCAGGGCTTTCAGTTGACTCACTCTCTTGGTGGCGGTACTGGTTCTGGTATGGGCACCCTACTCATCAGCAAAATCCGCGAAGAATATCCAGATCGCATAATGAACACATTCAGTGTTGTACCATCACCAAAAGTATCAGACACTGTTGTTGAACCATATAATGCAACCCTTTCAGTCCATCAACTTGTTGAGAACACCGATGAAACCTACTGTATTGACAATGAAGCCCTCTACGATATCTGCTTCCGTACTC